GAGGAGGAAACAAATGAAGATTACCCTCTGGAAGGAGAGCCAGTAGAGGAGATTCCAACTCAGGAATCTCAACAACAACTTGAATCAATAGCAACCAGCAGGCCAAAAAGAACAATAACGAAACCTGTTCGTCTCATAGAGACGGTTGCTTGTGCAACCTCAATTGTAGCTGATGATGTTCCTACTACTTATAAAGACGCTGTCCAAAGTTCAGAAGAAGATAAGTGGAGGATTGCCATGAATGATGAAATACAGTCCCTTCATCAGAATCATACATGGAGATTGGCCAATCTCCCGAAGGGAAAGAAAGCAATTGGGTGCAAATGGGTATTTGCAAAGAAGGAAGGATTTCCTAACCAAGTAGATGTTCGCTACAAAGCAAGATTGGTGGCCAAAGGATATGCTCAAAAGGAGGGAATTGATTACAATGAAGTGTTTTCTCCAGTTGTAAAACATTCCTCCATTAGAATTATGTTGGCTTTGGTAGCACAATTGGATTTGGAACTAGTTCAGATGGATGTAAAAACTGCGTTTTTACATGGAAACTTGGAGGAGGAAATCTACATGACTCAGCCAGAAGGATTCAAAGTTGCTGGAAAAGAAAATATGGTGTGCAAACTTGAAAAATCGTTGTACGGATTGAAACAATCTTCTAGACAATGGTACAAGCGATTTGACGAGTTTATGTTGCGGCAAGGGTACAAGAGAAGCAAATACGATCATTGTGTGTATTTGCACAAGCTTAAAGATGGTTCCTTTGTATATCTTCTCCTATATGTTGATGATATGTTGATAGCTTCCAAGAATTCGGAAGAAATTGATAAGTTGAAGATTCAACTGAAGAAGGAGTTCGAGATGAAGGATTTGGGTGAGGCAAAGAAAATTCTTGGCATGGAGATAATTAGAGATAGACGTTCAAAGAAACTCTGTTTATCTCAAAAGGAATATTTGAAGAGAGTACTTCAACGTTTTGGCATAGATGACAAGACTAAGCCAGTTAGTACTCCACTTGCTTCCCATTTTAAGCTAAGTACTACTATGTCGCCAATGGATGAAGCTGAACGAGAGTATATGTCAAAGGTACCATACGCAAATGCTGTTGGTAGCTTGATGTATGCAATGGTTTGCACAAGGCCTGACATTTCACAAGCTGTTGGAGTTATTAGCAGATATATGCACAATCCAGGGAAGGAGCATTGGCAAGCTGTGAAGTGGATTCTACGGTATATTCATAATACTGTAGATGTCGGGTTAGTTTTTGAGCAGGAAGACAATCAGTCTGTAGTTGGATATTGTGACTCAGATTTTGCGGGTGATATGGACAAACGAAGATCAACTACTGGTTATGTGTTTACTTTTGCAAAGGCACCAGTTAGTTGGAAGTCTACTTTGCAGTCAACAGTTGCTTTGTCTACAACAGAGGCAGAGTACATGGCTATTACAGATGCTGTGAAAGAGGCAATTTGGCTTCAAGGATTGCTAAAGGAGCTTGGTGTTGAACAAAAAGGTATCACAATTTTTTGTGATAGTCAAAGTGCTATTCAATTAGCGAAGAACCAAGTTTATCATGCAAGGACGAAGCACATTGATGTTCGGTATCATTTCGTACGAGAAATCATAGAAGAAGGTGGAGTCACGGTGAAGAAAATTCATACTACAGAGAATCCTGCTGATATGCTGACAAAGGTGGTGACTGCGGTCAAGTTTCAACATTGTTTGGATTTGATCAACATTGTTGAACACTGAAGATTGAAGATGAAGACACAACCAAAATTTGTTATTGAGAGAGAATTGAAAATGTGGAATTTTGCCAAGGTGGAGATTTGTTGAAGTTTGGCAAAATGCCAAAGTCCCACATTGGTTGGGAGTTAAGTTTGGGGGGGATTTTTCCCCTATAAAAGAAGGCCTAATGTTTAGGATTGAAACACACCTCTCATTTGCCTTCTCATCTGTTTAAGGCATTTGTATCTTCTCTCTTTAGTATTATTTCACTTGTATTTTTGGAGTGAAATAAAATATTGGTTGTGTCCGAGGAGTAGGCAAAATTAGCCGAACCTCGTAAATTCTGGTGTTCCCTTTATTGTTGTTTTATTGTCTTATTTATTATTTGGTGGCTGTCATAATTTTTGGTATAGTAGTTGTGACTTATTCACACTATATACATTTGGCTTCCGCAACAGGAACACAATAGTGGATGTATTGATGTTTATGGCCACGACTGTTTTTTTGAAGGACACAAATACGCCAATTAAGGGCAAGCCTGGTTCTGAGTTTAATCCTAGGAGACTTGCTCATAGGACAATCAGTCTTGATGATTTGAAGTTGGTGAAAAATACATTAAATATGTTACATATATTCTTAGTCCAATCAAATGCTGTATGTGATGTATATTAGATGTTACTAATATATAGCTGTTTGATGTTTATGAACTTTGTTATTTCTTGCACAGACAATAAACGATGTCGCTGTGGGAGTAACACAGGCTGGTTTATCTATCTATCTTAACAGGAGATATGGTAAGTTCTGCCTCATGTATTAGGAATAATTGTTAATAACAAGAAGGTAGACAACCTGTTATATAGAACATGTAAAATTACACAAATATTATAATCTCTATTTTCTTTACACTACTTTATCCGTGGAAACAGCCTCTTGCAGAAATGCAAGGTAAGATTGCGTACAATAGACCCTTATGGTTTGGCCCTTCCCCGGCCCCGCGCATAGTGGGAGCTTACTGCACCGGGCTGCCCTTTTGATCAGAGTAAATAAGTTAGATTAAAAAAGAATTAAAAACTAGTTTATCCAGTACTTTTATTGTTTGAACTGCTGGGAAAACAGAGTCATGGCAGTAAATTTTAATGCAAAATTTGGCAGGTGAGGACAAGAAGGACAAGGGAGCAACAGAGAAAAACAGTAATCTCCCTAAGAACATAAGACTGAGATCAACACTTCTTATTAACTTAAGACCAAGGACTGGAATTCAGGTGATGGCATTTATTCTTTCTTCAAAATCTTAGCATTTCAATTTCCTTAGCTTACTTCAAGCCAAGTTATTGACATTCTTTTCATGTTTAACAAATATATAGGCTTTAGCTGATATGATGGCCAAGGACACTGAGGCAAAGTGGGGCAATTGCGTTGGTTTTGTCCTTTTACCCTTTAAAATTGCATTACGAGATGACCCCTTAGATTATATATATTAGACAAGTTAAGACAATCGTTGATCGTAAGAAGAAAAACTCTCTTGAAGCTATCTGCACATTTTCCATCTCCAAATTAGCACTCAAGTTTTTTGGGATTAAGGTAATGGCATAATCACTTCTCAATTTTTATCTTTAACATAAGATTTCAATAATTACAAGATTTGACCCTTTTTCTTCTGTGAAAAAAATAAATTAATTCAGACATCAAGTACAATATCGCACAAAATTCTCACCAATACAACACTCTGTTTCTCTAATTTGGTCGGTCCTCAAGAGGAAATTGGCTTCTATGGGCACCCTATTGCTTACCTTGCACCCAGTTCTTATGGGCAACCTCATGTAAGTATCACTAATTTGCTTGACCAAATCGTAATGATTTATCAATAGATTAGTGATCTTGTTTAGATTATCTAATTTACATAAATTTCAGGCGCTGATGATTAATTTCCAGAGTTATATAAACAAGATGACTATAGTTCTATCAGTAGACGAAAGTGTGATTCCTGATCCGAATCAACTGTTGGACGATCTTGAACAATCTCTAAAGCTCATAAAGGATGCTGCGGTAGAAAGAGGCCTTTGCCTTGGATAAAAAAAAATGCTGGACAAGCTCTTCTAGTTATGGCTCAAATTTTATAGTAGTTCTTTTTCTTTTTTATTAGGAAGTGTCTTATTGACAATAACATTGGTACACAAGTATAATGCGACGGATCACTATCGCTACAATATTAATGAAATATAAAATTTTGAGCAATACGTTTTTTTTTCTTTCATCAGCAATAAGTTTACATATCATAAATGTGCTCGTGCTGACAAACTCAGTCTTGCATTTATGAATCATGAAATAAACACTAAGTTTTCGAGTTTTGTTGAGGAGCATCCAAATGTGTAATAAGCTAATCAACATTAGTCCTAAATTTGGAGAGGAGGCCTTTTTTATAAGCCTGAATGACTCGACAAAATCATCCCCAAGCTGGTTAGGATCTGCAATTATTCCTTCATCACCTGTTACAGCAAATGTTAACTTCTTGGCACAACTACACGCATGAACATGGGCATATGTAGCCCTATAACACCGGGTTCAATTGAACCCATAACTTTTGATTCGGAGTACAAATTTATATATAAAAAATCGCTACAATCACAATAAATTATAGATATGAACCCATAACTTTTAAGAACATAATGAGTTCAGTAGTAAGAACCTTAAAGGTTGAACCCATAGAGTTTAAATCCTAGATCCGCCTCATGCGACATGAATCATTAGCCGTTACAATATGCAGCATTTGGATTCAGCGATTCTGACATGAGTAGGATCTTTTTTTTTTTTAAATATGGAATGAAGAGTGTCCAAATAAAATGATATGAGTGCACAAGGTTCATAAACCTGATCTCAACTAGTTTGTGATAGATCAGACATAATTAATTGATGGTTGACTGAAGAAACTTACAGTTGGATGTCTATCACATGTTGGGGCAGGGAATGTCAATGGATGGCCTGTTCGTATTACATTTCCTAGGTGGACCATTGTTTTTTTTTTTGGTGGTTAAAAGACCATGTTTTACGTGCAAATAATTAATTTTATGAAGAGCAAAAATTTCCTTTTTGTCCTCTAATACATTGTTGTTCCCTGTGAGTTTCAATCAAAGAAAATCGTACGAAATTCCAATTGAACAACAACCTGAGAAATTACTAATTCATGAGAATTGCATGTTGTAACAGCCAAAAGGGTTGAAAGAAACAACTTATTGTTGGATAGGTATAAATGTTGCTCATCTGCACAAGAATTGGATTCATACATACTAGTACACTAAAGTTTCACTTCCATTTGTTGAATATAGTGCAGGCATAAACATTGGCTATGGCTCGTTTGCCTGTATTTCTTTGTTTCCTACTATTAGCACTCGTAGGATCTTCCTCGGCTGCTCCATCCTGTCCAACTGTTAAAACGCAGCTAGCACCTTGTCACTCATACGTCGAAGGTAATCTAAAGGCTAATCCATCCGAAGCTTGTTGTTCAGGTTTAAAGGACATACTTGAGCTTGTAAAAGCCAGAGAAGATGGAGTTGCTCTCTGCAACTGTATAAAAACAACAGTGATTGATGATCACGATATTCCCTCTCGCATTTCTGAACTCCCCAAGAAATGTGGCCTTCCTTATACAATCCCTCCCATAGATAAGAACTTCGACTGTAACAAGTAAATCCAAAATATTTCAGCCAATTTTTCTCAGAATACTTGCTTGATCTGCTTAGCTAAACTTCTTGTTCTCTACATGCAGGATTTCTTTGAATTGAACGGATATCGCACAAGGAAGCTGCCTGAACCACTATAGAATTATGAATAAACCATACACGATTATATAATTATGTATGAAACAATATCTTAAATGTATTATGTATCTGCAAGCAAGAAACATTGTGAAATTAAGGAATGGACAGACATCTTTGTTGACGATATGCTGTATTCTTGAATAAGCCTTCATTTAGAAATTAAAACATGTCTAGAGTATGATGGCAACATATTAGAAGCACTTTGTGACAGAACCTGGTTCCCCACTTCTCTTATACAAGAATTACAAAATATAGCATATTCTTGGCCTTATGGATTACACTCTCAACAAAAAAGTGGAAAACTGAATCCAGATTAAGGCTCAGTTAGTTTTTCTTTTACTTCCCTTTAACAGACTGAATCAATCACAATCTTAAATGTGGAGAACTCTCAGCATTGCATGATGCTTGTGTGTTAACCGGGCAAGAAATTCAGGCAACAAACTCTAGCCTCACTTAATATAAGTTATTACACCCAAATTAGAATACCCCACTCATCAGTATCAATGGTTAAAAAAAATGGTGAAGATATTCTATACTCTGATCATTCTCTCGCTAGTTTTAGCAGCACCGGCAATGGCCAAGCCCTCTTGTAAGATGGTTTCAAAAGGGCTAGTACCATGTTATTCATACATTAAAGGGAAATATCATTCCATTAAGCCATCAAATAGGTGCTGCAGAGGACTGAATGATATAGCTGATATGTTGAAAAATGGCGAGGAGGGTCCTATAGCTGTTTGCTTGTGCATAAAGGGAGCACTTTTACATGTTCGTTATGATCCCACGCGCATCACACTTGCTTCACAACAATGTCATACGCGGTTATCTCTGCCTCCCGTTGGCCATAACACTGTTTGTTCAAGGTATAGTTTTGATAGGGCTGGTGTAGTATGATGGCAGTCAATAAACTAAAATCATAGATTTAAGTTATATATAGTGACAGCGTAAATTGTTTTTACAGAATATTGTAGTTTTTATCCTGTTATAGTAGGTGCAGAACTAAAACCTGAAATGGGAAAGAGAAAAAAAGGAAGGACTATCTATTCGATTGATTTATCTTTTATTAATGCACTTGGACGGACAAACCAAAACCATCTTCTTATTAAAGTAGATTGGTATTGACCATATAATTGGAGCAGAACTTGAATATAGTAGTCTAAGAAGCTAAGTACCCCAACTGGGTCGATTCTTCTTCAGCCAAATACGATAAAAGTAGAACTTGCGCAATGAGAAATAGCATACGAGGAAATCCATGTTTTTCTTTGTCAGTTTCAAAACAAGGAGAGATAGTGAATGTATTGGTCAAAATCTAACCGTTGCGGTCAAGCTGACCAACATTCCGTCCAGGCGGTAAGGTAGCAAAAGATGACATGGTCTATTTCACATCCGGCACTCTCGATACCCGTCGAGTCAGAAGAAACAACGTTTAGAGGACGACCAAGGCAGACATAGTGAGAGAGAGTGTCGGACCAAGTAAATAGCAAAAGGTCCCATAACTATATATAGTAGGGGAAAACCTTCGGTTAAGGTGGCGGGTTTTTCACTTCTTCCTCTCTCCCTAGGGCCTAGTCCCCTCCCCTGTAATCTTCATAATGAGAAGAAGAACGGAGCACTCTCCAAGGAAATATGTAAAAAGGGTCCCTTCTATCGATTAATGGGATCAACAACGGAAAGTTTTTTCAATAAGATTGGTTATCTCTATCTCATCTTATGTGTTATTTTTCCAATTAGTTTATTGATCTAGAGTTTATTATGGTTGACTAAGATTTAACCCTCCATTTTCTTTAATTGATTTGTTCAAAATGGTTCCAATATCTTTTGAGTCAAACAATTTGGCGCCGTCTGTGGGGATTTCTTAGTGAAATTTCCTAGTCTCTTCCAGATCAAAGACAAGAAACACGATTACCCACGGAAAAGAGTGCTAAGGCAAAGCCCAACCCACGCAGGGCAAAGGCGCAGCATAGGAGGGGAAGAGAGCTGAATACAGTCACTGAATTTAGGAATCATCTCCCCATCAACCGTTGAAATGCCAGAAAAAACGAGCAACGTTACAAACCTACTCTCATTCACCGATCCATCGGATGGGGGTAAGGAAAGTATCATTTTAACTCACCTTCTGATCTTTGCTCAAGCAGGAATACAAGTGATGTGCGGGCGAGCGAGCAAAGAAACATCTCAATTAGAGAATGGGAAACTACTACAGGACAACCGAAACATCGCCCGCCGATGACACCTCCAAGCCGAAAGGCAAGAATTAGACAAGGAAACTCCAATGTGTGCACAAAACGAACATAAGCGAAACAACAACGTTTCTTACTCCGCGACATCACACTCTCCAATGCAAACAATATCAAGCGAACTGGTACTCCCCCAGAGGATTCCTGATTCTCCAAAAACTAGGACTGACGACGGGTTTCTATTTCGATAAGTTCGTAATAACACCTTTAAGGCCAAGGGCCTTCGCCAAAAAGAAGAGTTCGACCTCGTTTGAACGACAACGAGTTACTATTTTGATAAGTTTGAAATAACATCCTTTAAGGCTAAAGACCATCGCCAAAAAGAAGAGTTCGACCTCGTTTGAACGACAACGAGTTACTATTTTGATAAGTTTGAAATAACATCCTTTAAGGCTAAAGACCATCGCCAAAAAGAAGAGTTCGACCTCGATCGAACGACGACGCGTTACTATTTCGATAAGTTTGAAATAACACCCTTTAAGGCTAAGGTCCTTCGCCAAAAAGAAGAGTTCGACCTCGATCGAACGATGACGTGTTACTATTTCGATAAGTTCAAAATAACACCTTTTAAGTCTAAAGGCCTTCGCCAAAAAGAAAAGTTCGACCTCGATCGAACAACGACGGGTTACTATTTCGATAAGTTTGAAATAACACCATTTAAGGCCAAAGGCCTTTGCCAAAAAGAAGAGTTCGACCTCGATCGAACGACGACTGGTTACTATTTTGATAAGTTTGAAATAACACCCTTTAAGGCCAAAGGCCTTCGCAAAAAAAAAGAGTTTGACCTCGATCGAACGACGATGAGTTACTATTTCGATAAGTTCAAAATAACACCCTTTAAGTCCAAACGCCTTCGCCAAAAAGAAGAGTTTGACCTCGATCAAACAACGACGGGTTACTATTTTGATAAGTTCGAAATAACACCCTTTAAGGCCAAGGGCCTTCGCCAAAAAGAAGAGTTCGACCTCGATTGAACGATGACGGGTTACTATTTCGATAAGTTCGAAATAACACCCTTTAAGGCCAAGGGCCTTCGCAAAAAAAAAAGAGTTCACCCTCGATCGAACGACGGTGGGTTACTAGTTCGATAAGTTCGAAATAACACCCTTTAAGGCCAAGGGCCTTCGCCAAAAAGAAGAGTTCGACCTCGATTGAATGACGATGGGTTACTATTTCTATAAGTTCGAAATAATAGCCTTTAAGGCCAAGAGCCTTCGCCAAAAAGAAGAGTTCGACTTCGATCGAACGACGACGGGTTACTATTTCGTTAAGTTTGAAATAACACCATTTAAGGCCAAGGGCCTTCGCCAAAAATAAGAGTTCGACTTCGATCGAACGACGACGGGTTACTGTTTTGATAAGTTCGAAATAACACCCTTTAAGGCCAAGGGCGTTCGCCAATAAAGAAGAGTTCGACCTCGATCGAATGACGATGGGTTACTGTTTCGATAAGTTTGAAATAACACCTTTTATGCCAAGGGACTTCGCCAAAAAGAAGAGTTCGACCTCGATCGAACGACGACAGGTTACAATTTTGATAAGTTTGAAATAACACCCTTTAAGGCCAAGGGACTTCGCCAAAAAGAAGAGTTCGACCTCGACCGAACAACGATGGGTTACTATTTCGATAAGTTCGAAATAACACCCTTTAAGGCCAAGGGACTTCGCCAAAAAGAAGAGTTCGACCTCGACCGAACAACGATGGGTTACTATTTCGATAAGTTCGAAATAACACCCTTTAAGGCCAAGAGCCTTCGCCAAAAAGAAGAGTTTGACCTTGATCGAACATCAACGGGTTGATATTTCGACAAAAGTTTGAAATCACACTCTCAAGGCCACGAGCCATCGCCAAAGAGAAAAGTCGAAGTATTCCTAAGGCCAAGAACCATCAGAAAATATAAAGGGAAAGAAAGACCGGGACTCTCTATGTGAGAATCTACTTCGCACCAAAGTCACGAAAATCAAAAACAAAGATAAAGTGCACGACAAATAACAATAAAAAATTCTTCTTTATACAAAGTCACTGCGCAAACGGTCGCAGATTACACACGGCCCAAGCCAACAATTAAAAAAAGGGAAGAGGAAAGGAGAAAGAAACAACGACAACCGACAACGAATAAAAAAATAGAAAATAGACAAAGACAGCATTCTTTCACTCGGCATCATCACCTCCACCATCATCGCCACCATCTCCAGGAAGCCCTCCGTCATCATCCGCGCCCTCATCGGCCTCCGGAGTTGTAAAGTCATAACCACAGTTGATACGAGCCTTTCGCACCTTTGCCTGTGCTTCCTCATATGCGGCCTTAGTAATATTGCCTGCCTCCCACAAACTCTTGTATATATCCCGCTAAGCTTCAGCATGAACCCAAAGCTCATGTAAGCGATGAGGAATAGTGGTGGAGGAAAAAGTGTCGCCCTCATCTATGTTTTTCTTTGTTAGTTTCAAAACAAGGAGAGATAGTGAATGTATTGGTCAAAATCTGACCGTTGTGGTCAAGCTGACCAATATCCCGTCTAGGAGGCGAGGAAGCAAAAGACGACATGGTCTATTCCACATCCGACACTCTCGATACCCGTCGAGTCAGAAGAAACAATGTTTAGAGGACGACCAAGGCAGACATAGTGAGAGAGAGCGTTGGACCAAGTAAATAGCAAAGGTCCCATGACTATATATAGTAGGGGAAAACCTTCGGTTAAGGCGGCGGGTTTTTCACTTCTTCCTCTCTCCCTAGGGCCTAGTCCCATCCCCTGTAATCTTCATAATAAGAAGAAGAACAGAGCACTCTCCAAGGAAATATGTAAAAAGGGTCCCCTCTATCGATTATTGGGATCAACAACGGAAAGTTTTTTCAACAAGATTGGTTATCTCTATCTCATCTTATGTGTTATTTTTCCAATTAGTTCATTGATCTAGAGTTTATTATGGTTGACTAAGATTTACCCCTCCATTTTCTTTAATTGATTTTTTCAAAATGGTTCCAATATCTTTTGAGTCAAACAGTGAAGATCATAGATGTTTTGCCTAATCTGAGAACTGGAAATGTTCTAGCAGTATGACATACATCTTATGATCATAGGATCTAGATATTGGAACATCCAGGGGCAGAGGCACAAGCTGGCCTATGAGTTCGGCTGAACCCAGTAGCTTTTGCTCAAACAGTGTATTTGATGATTTTGAATTCATGAAATATGTATAAATATTAAATCTAGAACCCAGTCATTAACACTTGAAGTTGTGGTCCCAAAATTCAAAACTCATAAGGTTGAAATCCTGGCTCCGCCTCTTGGAACATCACAGGGAATTAGATTGATCAGATTATAACACTGCAATAGATTAACTTGTTGGTATATATTGTTGTTTAACAAAAAAATAAGAATTTCGGCCAAAGCTTAATTTTAGAAGAACTCGGGTTACTGATAATCAAATAAGGAACAAATAAGAAGAATTAACTTAAACGATAGATGAGTAAGTAAAAGAAAGCAAAGAAAATCAGTGTATTCCAATAATATTCTCTGTCCTTACAAATGTTTATTTCTTTTCTTTTATAGCTATTTCTAAGTAATACATTTCTTTCCGCTCACAACAGAGCCATTATGAGCAATTAATTGCATTAATGTAACTTTATAATTGGCAATCGTAACTGTTTCGTGAAA